TGGGCCCACAGCTTGCAGCTCTCCTGGGTTCTGTAAGCCACTCAGAGTCCTCCTAAGTTCTTAGAAGTTTGAACCGGCACCAGCAGAAGCTCCACGCCTATGCGCTGAGGACTAAAGAAGGTCAGAGCTTATCAAAGTCCTGCAGGCTACTCAGAGTCTGCCTAAGTTCTTAAATGGTGCCCCCAATTTTAATTTAGAACTATAAAACAAACAATCAACCTTATCAGTAAAGTAAATTTAAGTAATCTTTTAAAATATCCCCATTATTGCAAATCTTAGGAAATACGATATTCTATTTTTTTTGATATTCTATTTTTTTAAAGCAAACTTTAAAAAAAACTAACTGGTACAGGGTCTCCCTTCGATCAAAACTGGGTCCTTGTGCTTGCCCCACAGCTGTTTAGACCACTGAACTATCTCTCCAGCCCCCCTCCCCCAGTATAATTTTTTTTTTTTTTTTTTTTTTTGTGGAACCAGTGATTGAACTCAGACCCTTGTGCTTACCAGGCAAGCTAGCCTCCCTACTATAAGCAAACTGTTTTTATCTTTAGGATAGAGAGACTTTCAATTTAATCACCTTACGGGGAAAAACATAAAAACCTTTTTTTGTGTCAACTGTAATGGAGAAAGTAAGCTCCTTTCCTGAGCAATGGCCCTGCTCCTTTGTAGCTACCCTACCTGGAGGCCATCCACACTTGCATTTGAAAGGTTCTTTAAAATGTTTTTCCTTTAATTTTTATTTTTTAACCCAGTATTTCTTTTTAATAATTATACTTTTTTTTATCAAAGAAAGAATGACCAATCGAGCGGTATAAGAGTCTGGTGTGGTTTAAACAATGGTTTGGGTGGACAGAATTATAACTCTGATTTCCCTGCATAATCAGCATGGATGACACCAACCAAAACCTGGACAGTTCTTCGTATTGAGGCTCTGCCTCTCGTTGCTGCTTTTCCTCTATGGCCTGGGGGTTGAGTGAGCTGCTAGCAGCAGCTTCATACCTGGAATGGGTTTTGTCAGGCCACATCCCCTCCCCAGGCTTCAAAGGGGCTATGGCTTTGTATCCATAGCCTCTGTGTGCAGATACAGCAGCCACTGTGTGTGCCTGCTGGCCCTCTGGCTCTGGTCACTGGATTTTTTTTTTTTTTTGAGAGTGCAACTATCTTGAACATTACAAACTGCTGATGCCAGCAATGTGCACAGCCAACTACAAAGTTTCTAAATTTCTGTGTAGAAATATGTAGTTGTTGTCTTTTAACATTCTTTAAGTATTTCAATATTAGAATATCTATGGTTGTTAAAAAAATAACAGTTCCATTTTATGTCAAAGGAGTTTGATATTTGGATAAATAATATTAACCTTACTATCTTTGTTACAGGGTAATGTCATTAAACTTCTCTTCTGGATGTTTAACAACTAAAGCTTGGAGACTAAAAATTAGAGAGATAGATGAGCTAAAAGGGTAGCCAATATTTTGGTCCTAGCCCTCACAGGTCCATAAGAAGTCAGAATATAAGAGAACCTTTACTGTCACATACTGTAACTCAGTTGAGTCTTAAATTTTCTGATCAAGGAGATAATGGGGCCACAGAGGAAAGTGATCAGTGATGTATAGTGTGCCTAAGGAGAGTCATCTAGAGAGAGAAAAAATATCTTAAGCTTTCACAGAAAGCAAATTGGTCAAGCATGGTTCCAAGGTAAATCTTGAGATTTAATTGACACTGTTAGATCGCAAAAGTTAAATTTGTATTTGTACAGGTCTTACTTTAACTTGGTCTTAACCATCCAGCAGAAAAGCATAACCATAACGCGCCTGATCTCGTCTGATCTCGGAAGCTAAGCAGGGTCGGGCCTGGTTAGTACTTGGATGGGAGAAAAGCATAACCTTGAGATGTGAAAAGTAATGCCATAATAATATGCTAAGCTGTAAAAGGCCCAAGTCACTAACAACGTCTGAGGATTGCCAGCTGTACTGACAACTCACTACTGTTATGGAATACTGGACTATATAGGGTTACACTGCTGAATTCAAGTATCTAAAATCTTTGGATTGATATCAAGAATGAAAAGGTCTTCTAAAGAGTTCTCTTAACACAGCTTTTCTAACTGCAACGGAACACTCATCTCTGACACAACAAAACAGGGATATGTTGGGAGCCATGGAAGCTGGAAATTGGTCAAATGTGTGTAAGACAGACTAGGCCTCAGTGCCTAAAGCAGTCAAGCTACCTCAGTCCTGAGATAAACATCCTGACTGGCTAATTCAGCTATCAGTCACTGGGCAACCTTGTCATGTGTTACTAACTACAAGGGTATAAACGCCCATACTCTTGTTCTGGGAGTCATATCACCAACCAGGCAGATGGGCCACTACCTGACCTAGATCTTGTCTTGTCTCTCTTTTCCTCATTCATGCTGCCATTTCTCCAAGGTACAACAGACCACACTAAGACACCAAAAGATTCCTACAGAAAGGTGCAAGAATTTACCTCAGTGGGAGATGGAATTCTCTAGCATGTATGAGGCTTTACATTCAGTCCCTTGCAGAGGACTGATCACAGTATGAACTATCTGAGGGCGTAGACTTCAAGTTTCTGAGGCACAAGTAGGGCCTAAGCCGACACAAGCAAAATCACAACACAAGGTCAACATGTGCTGAGGGTATCAAGGCCCGTAAAGTCCACTGGGTTAAGTCTGAGGTCCCAGAGGGAGTTACCTACAAGTGCAGTGGACTTGCCTATGTTGCTCACCCCAAGCTTGGAAAAGACCCCAAGATTTGCCAACAATAAGCAATGCAAATGCTATCAAGATCCAGTTCAGCTTTTAGCTCAGGCTTCTTGAGGTACCCAGGCTCCCATTTAGGGATCCATAGAAAGGCCTCTGTCTGCCAAACAGGACTGGTAAGACCTCAGGCTATCTGCCTGGGGCTGCTGCCTTCCTGTCCTGTCTGTACACTGACATCATCAGTTATGGAGTAAGTCGGCACTATGTAGCTCATAGGACCCAGAATCTCTTCTCTGGTGTTCTTGCAGAACACATAACCTAAATCTAACTGAGAAAACATCAGACCTGCACAGAGTAGGGGCCCTTCCCTAAACTGACCTATGTTCCAAAAGACACCAGGGTTTTGACAAATAAGTTAAAACAGAGAAGCTGCTTTAGACAGCAAATACATTCAACATGCAATCCCTGACTGAATCCTGGGTCACAGAGGAAAGGGTGACTATATAGGTTGTTAAGGAAACCACTAGCTTCAATAATGACACCTGCAGACTGCTAGCAGCACAGGGTCAGCACCAATTTCTCTGCTCCGACAGCTGTGCTGTGCTGATGCAGGGGGTGTCCTTAATCTTGCCAAATGTGTCCTGAAGCATCTAAGAGAAACAGCTCTCAGATGAGTCAGAAAATATATACACAGCACCTATAATCTGTAAATATTTAGAAAAAGAGAATGATAAAGCAAACAATAAGTTAACAACTGGGAGACCTAGACAGAGATATACTGGAATTCTTAATGCAATTTTTAAAACTTTCCTGTAAGTTTAAAATTATGTAAAAAGAAAATATAAAAGAATATAGAACATATGTACAAAGAGACTTCTTCAAAAAAGATATATCTTTTTTTTGTCTTTTTGGTACATGGTTTTACTAAGCAGTTCAGCCTGGTCTTAGATGCTATGTAGTCCTCCCTTGCCTCAAACTTGTGGCAATCCTCCTGCCTCAGCCTCCTAAGTGCTGGGAAGAAATCTTAAAAAAAAAAGAAAGAAATTTTAGAATAAAAAACAAAAACAAGAAAAAAACCATAAAAATTTAAGAAAACAAACAAACAAAAAGATAAACAAGAAAAAAGCATTTAAAAAAATTTTACTCAGCTGGAGAGATAGCTCACTTGAATAAGTGCTTGTCTGGCAAGCGCAAGGGCCTGAGTTCAATCCCCGGCTCTGCAAAAAAATAAATAAATAAAATAAAAAAATTTTACTTATTATTATGTCTGGCCAACAGGTACCTGCCAGCTTTATGGGTCTGAAAGCCAGAGGTACTTCTCAACACAAATCACTAGAGGGCAGCAAGAAACCAGGTTCAGCACAGGATTTCATTTGGCCTGGAGTACTTCAAGACAGAATTGTCCTGTGTTCTTACCCAGAATGCACTCCTCAACCCTAAAGGAAAAAGTGCTCTGCATATTGAACACTGGGCTCCTTTCACTCACAGTACACACAGCTATGGAGCACCTGCAAGCAAGCTGGCCTCTGCTCCTTGTTTGGGTCTGGACTTCAGAGCAGATGTCAACATCTCTCACTACCAGGCCATTAACTCCCGAAACCTAAAGCAAAGCTCATGAATATGATGGCAACAAAGGAGAATGAGCCTTAGAGCAGGGACATACACTCCCTTGTGGCCTGGGCTGGGCCATATCCCATGTCCACCCCTGTCCCCTTCTTCCCTCCCTGCCATCAGGGGCTACATGATATGGAAGCAGCAGAGATTCTGGAGACTGACCAAGGCTGTGGTATTGAATTCCTTGAGCCTCAGTTTCCTTATCTAAATAAAACAGGAATAACACCATTTGCTTTTTAAGAGATTTATATATACTTAATAAATTGCAGTATTTTACACTTTGGTTTAGGTATGAACAACAGGATGCTGTAGCAAGAAATGGGATTTTAAAGTTAGGATGAAATTCCCGTGATGCTTGGCAAATTGGAGTTTCACACATAAATGTTACAGTATAGTTTTCAGAATTACATGAGAGTGCCAGCCAGATAGTTTGGCAGACTAAAGTGCCTGTTTAGGCAGAGTACAGTGGCTGGGGTTTGATCCCCGGTGTGCTGTGCCAGCCCCGTCCCGGTGCATGCTGAGACAGAAACTGAGACTGGGTATGGTGGTGCACACCTGTAATCCCAGTGCTTGGGAGGCTGAAAACAAGAAAAATCACTATAAGTCTGATCTATGTAATGAGACCGTGTACTAAATACATTTAAAAAAAGAAAAAAGAAAAATTACATGGGAATATACCACTAAGAACTCTTGACCATATTACTACTCCAGCCAGGAACAACCTTCCTCCCTTTAATAAAATCTTAGCCTGTATGGCCCAGGTCAAAGCTTGCACCTTCCAAGAAATCTTTCTCCAATAATCTCTAAAGTATAAGAAACATGGTATCCACACTCTGGCCTAAATGGACTGAGCTAGAAAGATCTCTGAGATACTAAGTGACAATAAATGAGAATATCCCTAATTATAATTTCCTTTTTATATTTGGGGGGAAAAGAGGTGATCATGCCATTCACTTAACATTCTTCACTGCTTCCTGCTGTCAGTACAAGCTCCCGACCTGACACTCACGCTCCTTCACTGTCTGCGCTCAGCTGCCCCTCTAGCCTCGTCACCTAGGCCCAGCCTCACCACCCTCGGGCCCTGGGATACAGCTGCTCCCAAAGTGCCCTTCAGCATCTCCTCCTCTCAGACATGAGCATGCAGCACAATCACCTGGAGCTGAGATGCGAACTGCAGGCTATACTCACGGAATTTCTGATTCACGGGTGAGGTGGGACCCACAGATTTCTAAAAAGTTCTCGAGAGTGATGCCACTGTTCCAGGAACCACACTGTGCCAGCCACTGCCTTTGCCATGATTACTTCCTCACCTAAACACAGGCTACCAATCATGTGTTTGCCTGGATCTACTCAGTTCCAGTTCTGGGGCAGTTTGAGTACAAGAAGTAAAACACTCTCTCATATCGCTGCTTATGGTATATTTACTGCTATGGCCAAGCATCCTCCTCTAGGCCCAGACCAACAAGGACTCCTGAGGAAGGAGTTGCATTTTGTTCACTGACTTCTTACTGGAGTAAGAGAATTTTCACAAACTTTTCCAAATTCAAGTTTCTACAAACATTTATTTCTTCCAGGGAATAGGCTTTTTAGTCCTCTGCTCCTTGTAAACAAGTAACACAACTTGGTGTGAGAACAAACTGCAAACATACAGATCTTTGCCCTGTGTGGGGGTGGGGGTGAGGGAGGGAAGGTTCATAAGGAGAAGCAAGGGCAGAGGCAGTGAGCAGACATGAGCAGCTGCTATTGCTGCTGGGCATCTTCCTCCCTTTTCTGGGGGGGTGGAAGTGGAAGTACTGGGAATTAAACCTCTGGACTAAGCAACATCTCCAGCTCTTGAAAACTTTTGTTTATTTTGAAATAGCTAAGTCTTTAAATTCCCCCAGATAGGATCAAGTCTGTTTGTTCCTTGCTCAGTGTCCTAGAGTGCTGAGATGACAGGCATGCAGCACACCAAGCCAGCTACAGGTGAGCTTCTTCCTTAGTTCAAAGTAGATCTTACGATGCTAAATCCACATGGGCCAGTTTAGCTTACTTGCTGGGACTTCCAAAGGAGCCACAGACCTTGGGAAGGACTGATGATGTTTTCACTCATTGTAGGCAGGGGTCAATGCTTTTTAGTAACTTTCCAAGAGGTCAGAGGTCAGAAAGCTGATAACGCCTCAAGAGACCATCTCGACAGCATGTATAGATTTGCTTCTCCCATGTTGCTACCTGGAACAGAAAAATTCACAGCTCAAAGAAGTCTGGGCTCCTTCCATTTCAAAAAGATGGAGGGTGGCATTGACTCCATTAGTCAGTCCAAGGGAATCTGAAATACCTTTGACTCTGAAGGCAAGAGAAGATTAAATCTGTGACACATATTTACACAATCCCTGGCCAGGGCCAAGGGTGCACTTATGACTACAGAAGAGAAACTAATTAGCTAAGTGGAATGCAAATCTATCAGAGTTCTATGTAGTTATGCAAAGGGTCTGCACTCAGGGAGGATGACGTCATGTAAGTCTATTGATAGGCTTGGGTATTCCTAAGCTTTATAAAATTGTAAGCATAAAAGTGCTGAAAATAAGCCATCACTAACAAGGAGGACTTAATTAATTTCTCAAAGGGAGACAAGAACCACTAACATCATGCAATAGAACACATTCTATAATTATTATCAATGTGGCACGTAGCTACATTAAAAGGGCAACTTTCTCAATCCTTTTGGGTCTCAGTTTCTTCCTTTGTAGAAGGGAACTGATACGTTAGTTCACAACATAGAACGCTATGCAGGAACTTTTAAAAATGAAATAGAACTTTAAAAAATGAAACAGATCTACATGTATTTACCTGGGAAAAGTTCCAAAATGTTAAGTAAAAAATAAATCCCAGCAAGGGTCTGGGATATAGCTTAGCAGCACAGTACCTGCCTGCGAAGTGTGAGGTTGAGAGTTTGATTCCCAGTACCAAAAATAAATAAATAAATAAAAATAAATAAGCTACAGGGCAATATACAGAGAGAATGGGCCCAATTACAAACTAAGGATAAAACAATGTTATTTAGATAAATGCATAAATACACATAGGTAAGGGTGAAATTTCTCTAAAAACAGACTTAAAGATATATGCAAAATAATACTAGTTAGCACTAGAAAGAAAACTGGAACTAAAAAGGTCTTCAAGCAGACTTTTCAATTTGTGTAATTATGTACCATGAACTTTTATAGGTATGTATTAATTGTATAACTTTTTGAAAATTATAAGACAAAATGGGAATAATAGCTACACCTCAAATGGTAACGTGATACTATTTGGCCAATATCTGTACAATGTCTGGTCAATAAATATTATTTCATTTTTCTCTTTCCACTGTAATTGAGTAAGAGAATCAGTCTTGAGTTTTAATAATTGCTAATTTATAAAGAAATTTTCATATGACTCATTATTATCCTCATTTTACAGATTAATTAACAAAACTGAGGAGTTGAAAGAATTTTTCAAGTTTCTAGAGTCCTTAAATGATGAAATTATGTCAGGAAAATTGCTCAGTGGCATAAAGGCCTGCATGGCAAGCACAATGTCCACAGTTTGATCCCCAGAACCTAAGTAAATAAATAAATAATGAACTAATGAAATCTCTTCTGACTCAAAAGCTTTGATTTCTTTCTGTCCATCATATATATAAGCAGTACTTTAGAGCACCTAATGACCACAAGGTAGCCTGATTCAGTTCCTTCAAAGCCCCAGAGCCCAGGCAGGAATCACCCAGGCCTAGCCTTCTCTCAGGCCTGTACCTTGTACACGGGGTCACAGTCAGCTCCAGTGAGCTCAATGGCATAGTCTAAATCTTGCTGAACAACAAAACAGCTTCCATCACCTACAAGGCAAAAGAAAATTCAGATAACTAAAGATAACGTGGGCCTACAGAACATGATCGTAAGAAACAGAATAGTAAGTATGTCCTCCCATACGGGGAAACTACCATGACCTATAGCTGCTACTGCTGCTGCTGCTGCTGCCGCCGCCTAGAATGCTGGCCTGGGCAGTATGTGAAGGCCATGTGCAGAACCAGTTGGAAGCAGGGCCTGCCATCTGTAACACCCACCAAAGGCACAGAGCAAACAACTGCAGTCTTACACAGTTATTTGCAAACTTATCCTTGAGAATGACTTTAAATAAGAAATCGGTCTATACAAATGTTTTAAGAAAAATGTATGTTCCTAAATTATTCTTCAAGCTATGAACCTGAGAACATATATTACAAGGAGAAAAATTATTCTGAGAAAAATAAAATTATAGCTAAACTTGGGCAGGGGGAATAGCTCAGCAGAAGAGCCCTTGCTCAGAATGCACAAGGCCCTCAGTTCAATCCACAGCACTACAGGGGAAAAAAAAAAAAAAGTATATCTAATTTTAATTTCCTCAGAAGAACATGAACAAATGAAACAGGAAAATCTATAAATACTTAATAAGTTGGTTTTTGCTGTAGCTTTATTCATTTTAACAACAGTAGCTCATTGAAGAAAACATTAAAAACAAAGAAAACTGTGATAATGAACTACTCATAGTCTACCAAAGCAAATTAGTGCTAATATTTTGGGCCATTCTTTCAATCTTTTCAATAATATTCAATAATAATTATTTTACATGGTAAGAAGCATACTGTATAAAATAATGCCTTCATACAAAGCACCTTTTCTACATTGAGATTAAGGCTTTGTTAGCCACACATCATGGTGCACACTTGTAATCCCAGAAATGTCAGCATCTGGGAGGCTGAGGCAGGAGGAATGCTACAAATGCAAGGCTAGTCTGAACTATATAGTGAGACCTTGTCTCAAAACACACACACACACACACACACACACACACACACACACACACAGACTTTGTATAAGACCCTGGACAAGAATCAAAGATATCAAATTTACCTTTTTTGAAATCTGAAAACCTGCTTTCTAAATGTATTCAATAATCAATGTATACTCCAATCAACAGTATATGAGAGATAGGGGCTGGTGAGATGGCTCAGTGGTCTAAAGCACCTACTTAGAACAAGCTTAGCAAAGTACAGGGACCGCGGTTCAATCCCCCAGCACCACGTGCCAGCCAGCCCCGCCCCCTGGTAGGCTGAGCTGGCCACACACACACACACATATATACATAAATAAAATTAAAAAAAAAAAAACACAGTATATGAGAGATAATATTTTGCTTCCCCACCTTTTTTAAAGTATTGAGGATTGAAACCAGCACCTTGGGGTCGGGGAGATAGCTCAGTAGAATAAGCACTTGCCTGGCAACTGCAAGGGCCTGAGTTCAATCCCTGGTTCCACAAAAAAAAAAAAAAAAAAGAAAGAAAGAAATAAAGAAAGGAAGGAAGAGAAAAGAAAAGAAAAGAAAAGAAAGAGGAAGAAACCAGCATCTTCATAATGAACTACATCCCCAAACTTCAAACACACTAGGCAAGTGCTCCACTACTAAGCCACATCAACAGCCCTACAATTTTTTATTTTTTATTTTTTATTTTTATTTTTTGGCGGAACCGGGGATTGAACTCAGATCCTTGCGTTTGTCAGTCAAGCGCTTATCCTACTGAGCCATCTCCCCGGCCCCAGCCCTATAATTTTTTAAAAAACTGTTCATATGACAACTTAAATTTCTTCATGAACAACCAAAGAAGCTTAAAGACTGTGCCGCCTAACTTCTCAGCCAGTGTGAAAAAGTCCTGCAGAGAAGCCCAGCAGCTGCACGGTCCACCTCCACACTCAGGCACTCACTGCCTCAAGGGCCTCTTCCTTTTTTTTTTTTTTCCAGAATCGGGGATTGAACTCAGGCCCTTGCGCTTACCAGGGAAGCGCTTATTCCACTGAGCCATCTCCCCGGCCCCCTAAGGGCCTCTTCCTTCTTAGGGAACAGAAAATGTTTCCTTGTAATGAACCAAAATGTGGCTCCTGATAACTTTCTCCTATTGGTTTTAGTCCTGTTTCTTAACAACAGTTACATCGTTTCGTTTGCCTTTAGGTGTTAGTAACAGAAATTCTGTCTTGCCTTCTTAACGGAAACAGCTACAAGTACAAAAACTCCTTGAACCTCAAGGAATTATCTCTCTAAACTGATCCTGGACTCACCTTGGCTAGCAATGAATCCATCTCTGAAGTTCAGCAGGGACAGAAGTGGTGCTCCTGATCTGTGGATGACTCGTACTGGAGTTCTACGACTCAGAGTACAGGAAATTTTACTTTTTGAAAACAATGCTTAACTATATTCAACATACGGTAATAAACACATAAAGGAAACAGGACATGTAATCCTAGCACTGGGGAGGCTGAGACAGGAGGATCACTATGAGTCCAAGCTGCGTAGAGAGACCCTGTACCAAATAAATAAAAGATTTTAAAAAAGAAAGAAAGAAAGAAGACAAATGTAGAGAAAAATTAAAACTATTCATATAGCTTTTTTCCTGTCAAGATCTGGTAGTTACCTGAAGTGAATTTCAAAATATGAACTAAGTTACCACCAAAATCTCTCATTTTTAGTGGAGGTCTGACATGAGTCAAAAATAACAATATTACCAATACCTTTCTTTTAAACTTGAAGACAGAATTAAGACGAGTTATGAAATACTATTTGAAAATGTCAGGACTCTAAACTGAAGATAAAAATGGTACCCCTAGAAGCCATTTGATAAATATTAGCTGGACAAATGAAGGAAATGAAGGGAATGGATAGAATCACGGAAATTATTAAATTCTTTGGGGGCTTGTGGGTTAGCTCAGTTATTTAAGGGCCTGCATGGGCAAACCCAGTCAGGGGCAGGAGACCATGGTTCGATCCTCAGCCCCAAGTGCCTTACCAGATCTGCCCTTAAGGCAGCCTGAGCTAGCCAAAAAATATAGATAGATAGATAGATAGATAGATAGATAGATAGATAGATAGACAGACAGACAGATAGATAGATAGGACATATCCTTCTCAACTTTTAGGGCTGGCCGGGAGTTTGATCCCCGGGGTGCACCGAGATGGCAATTCAGACTGGGCATGGTGGAGCATGCCTGTAATTCCAGCACTTGGGAGGCTGTAAACAGGAGAATCACTACAAGTCCAATCTAGTAGTGAGACCCTGAACACCCTGTAGACCCTTCTTTAAAATACAGGAAAAGAAAAAAACAAAAAAGAAATTATTAATTCCTGCAACACAGTGGCTATTATGATTCTCTTTGAGATATATATATATATATATATATATATATATATTTTATTATTATTTTAATTTGGTGGTACTGGGATTGAATTTAGGGTCTTGTGTATGCTAGTATTCTACTCTTTGAATACTGTTATTATTACTGTTTTTTTGTAGTGGAATTAAACTCAGGGTCCTGCGCGTGCCAGGCCAGTGCTGTACCACTGAGCTACATCCCTTGCCCTCTTTGAATATTTTTAAGAGCACAAGGCAGCTTGTTTTAGATAGGTCATGATCAAGCTAAATAGGAATAGAACTGTCACATGAATTAAAAATGATCATTCAATCTTAGGCCAGTGCAGGTCTAATAGCTTACAGAAAATTACTGAGCTCCACAAAGTTAAAAATTCTACACAATCATTTTAAATAGTTATTTTAGGGCCGGGGAGATGGCTCAGTGGAATGAGCACTTCCCTGGCAAGCACAAGGGCCTGAGTTCAATCTCTGGTTCCACCAAAAAAAAAAAAAAAATAAATAAATAAAAATTATAGTTATTTTATTTTTTTTTATAGTTATTTTATTATTTAAATTTAATTTACAAAGCAATTATTACAGTTTGACAACTGTGACAGTAAAAGTCAAATTACTTTCCAATAAGATTCCAGGAATAATAACAATCAGATAAATCACATCATAAGAAAAGACTATCAATAGAAAAGCATTCCCTTAGCTCCATAGTCATCTATCTGCTAGGCTAATTTTTTTTTTTTTTTTTTTTTTTTTTTTTTTTGCAGAACCGGGGATTGAACTCAGACCCTTGCGCTTGCCAGGGAAGTGCTTATTCTACTGAGCCATCTCGCCGGCCCTTAATTTTTTTTTTTTTGCGGAACCGGGGATTGAACTTAGGCTCTTGCACTTGCCAGGGAAGCGCTTATTTCAATGAGCCATCTCCCCGGCCCCGCTAAATCAATATTAAAGCCAATAAAAAATTCCACATTGTGGAGGACATGCATCACACGAATGAATGGTGACTCACCTCGGACTCCTCACATCCAGCTGATAAATGTTTCCATCCTGTGTTCCAGCCAATAGCAAGAAGCCAGAGAGAAAAGTACAGCAGTTGAAGGCATCTGAGCCAATAAAGAGGAAGACCTAGGAACAACAGGAGATGAAAGTGTTTAAAGATTAATTTGTTTCCAGGCATAAACAAACACCAAAAAAGGGGAGAATTCCACTATTTTTAGAGATTCTTTCTTTCCCCTTGAGCATCTGGAGCAAGATATGGCACTGACATATTACTGAGAAATCTTGCTGGATTCTAAGCCCTGAGGTTGGCTGAGGGCTGGTGCAGTTTATGTAACAGTATGCTGAAGTAACAGTTTTCAAACTAATACCCTGCAATGGTCTGACTCATAGGCGCCTCTCACCAAAAACCTTTTCTCCTTTTCCATCACAACCCTCCACCTGAAAAGCACTTGTCATTCCCATGTTTACATTTTGTTTCATGTTGCTTCCAGCAGCCTTTTAAAAGGGATACTTTGTAGGAAAAGAAAAAAAAAAAAAAAGCTTAATAGTGAAGGAATTTAAAGAATCACAATTCTCCCATACCTAAAAAAGTTACACTTTTTTTTACTCTATACTGTTAGCTCAATCGGACCATTTCATCCTCAGATATTCCCAAAATAAAATAAATAAATAAATACACCGGATTCACCTTTGGAACTAAAAGCTGGCATAAAGACTGGGCCTGGTAGCAGACACCTCTAATCCGAGCACTCAGGAGGCTGAGGCACAAGGACTGCTGTGAGTTCAAGACAAATCTGGGTACAAAGTGAGCTCAAGGCTAGCCTGAACTGCATTGCAAGACCCTGTCTCAAACACACACACACAACCCTCATCATTTTATATATAGCACATTAAGGTACACAGGGAAAGTGACTTTAGTTCTGTTTTGAGGGTTTTCTTTTTTGAGATAGGGTCTTGCTGTATAGCCCAGGTTGGCCTCGAACTTATGGCAATCATCCTGCCTCAACCTCCAAGTGCTGGGATTATAGGTGTGCACTACTGTGCCTAGCTTGGAAAGTGACTCTGAAAATCCCATAAAGGGCCAACCATAGTGGTGCACACCTGTAATCCCAGCACTCGGGAGGCTGAGACAGGAGGATCATTGCAGGAGGATTGTAGCCCACTAGCCTGGGCTACAAAGTGAGCCCAAGGACAGCCTAAACTGCAGAGGGAGACCCTGTTTAAAAAAAAAAAAAAAAAGCAACAAAGGAGCAAAGCCCTTTGTCTTTATCACATAATCCTGTGAATTAAGTCCTATTATGCCCAGTTTAGTGATAAGAAAACTTAGGCTCACAGAGGCTAGGAAAGCTCTCCAAAGTCAGAGCCATTAGGTATGAAGATCTGTGATTTATATGCTGCCCCATTCCACATCCTGTGTTTGGTCACCACATACTTCCTCTCAGCCACCCAGCCTCCTCACAAAGGGAACACAGGGAGCAAGTAGAAATGTTTCTAAACAGCTTGCCAAGAATCAGAGTGACCCCAGGCTTCAAAGGTCTTATAGGAACTACTTGCCGGCTGCCTGCTCTGTAGTCCCAGGCACTGAAGCTTCTTATCTTCCCGGGCCAAGAGCAGCATTTTCGCTTCTGTCCCAACCTCCCGTTCACCTGCACGACAGATGAGCCACATTAATGACAGACCCGGATAGCTGTCTGCTCTCTGAAGTGTATGTGAGAGAGTCACTGGTTACTTTTTTTTTTTTAACTTTATTTGTGTGTGTGTGTGTGTGTGTGTGTGTGTGTGTGTGTGTGTGTGTCCAGCTCAGCCGACCAGGGGGCAGGGCTGGCTGGCATGTGGTGCTGGGGATTGAACCGTGGTCCCTGAGCTTTGCTGAGCTTGTTCTAAGTAGGTGCTTTAGACCACTGAGCCATCTCACCAGCCCACTGGTTACTTTTTTAAAAGTTATGTTCTACCTTCTCACAGTGGCATTGTTTACGTAATAGTATACCCTTGTGAAAACTTACAGACCTAAAAAAATAAAAAATGCAAAACCTTACAGATCTGTGCAATTAACAAGGGTGACATTAGCTAAGTGTGGTGCTGCACAACTATAATCCCAGCACTCTGGGAGACTGAGAAGCAGGAGGATCACACAAATTCAAGCCCAACCCAGGCAATTCAGCAAGACTGCCTCAAAATGTAAGAGGCAAGAATGAGCTCAATGCAAAGACTCTGGGTTCATCCCAGTACCACAAAAACAGGACTTTAACCATATATAAAAATGTTCAACAACAAAACTAATCACTATATTAAAATACAGTATAATTTAGCAGGTAAGACTAATGACTAACTCAATTTAGTGAAGCTGGGCACAGTGGCGTAGGCCTGTAGTCCTAGTATGGAGCGAGGCTGAGGCAGGACTATGAATCTGAGTTCCTCCTGGGCAATTTACCAAGACCCTGTCACATAAACTAAAACAAAGGCCAGGGATGTAGCTCAGTGGCACAAGTGCCTGCCTGTCAAGTGCCAAGGTCTTGAATTTGATTCCTGGTATCAAAGGGGAGGGGCTGAGTATGTAGCTCAGTGGTAGAGTGCCCCTGGGTTTGCTCCCCATTACTTCCCTGCAAAAATAAAAAAAAGATGGTTGTTGTTGGTTTTTCTTTGTTTTTTCATGATACAAGGTCTTGCTAAGTTGCTCAGGCTGGTCTTGAACTTGCCTTCCTCCTCTCTCAAGCTCCTGAGGAGCCACGACGGCACTGTGCACCACCAGGTGTTTTTAATGACCACAATGCTTGCTCTAAAGAGGAAGGATTCTAGAACAGTGCAGGTAGTAATACAGACAACAGACAATGACAAAGTAGACCAAAGTATTGGCAGGAGGCAGAAAGGGAGGAAGAAAAGGGAGCAAGAAGGAGCAGTGGAAAAACTGCAAACACTAAAGGAAGAGATGCAACTGCTGATGTGGGACATGAAGGGAGGGAGGGTGGACCATGAGTTAATCTCAGGTTTTGAGCTTGAGCAAATGGGTAAATGGTGGTATCACTTTTTTTTTTTTTTTTTTTTTTGTGGAACCGAGGATTGAACTCAGGCCCTTGCGCTTGCCAGGGAAGCACTTATTCCACCGAGCCATCTCCCTGGCCCTCACTTTTATTTTTGAGAATCTCACTATGTAGCTCAGCCTGGTTCAAACCCATGGCAATCCTCCTGCCTCGGGCACACGCTGCCACAACTGGCACAGTATCAACTTCTGAAATGGGGGCAGAGACCAGAGGACTCAGATACACCTCATTAGACAGGTATGGCTGAGCTATTTACCAGGTATCTAATAGTGTCTCAAAATCAGGTGCGCCAGGCACGGGGGCACACGGTGGTAATCCCAGCACCTGGGAGGCAGAGGAACCTGTTAAACTCCTTTTCTCTGAAAACCTATCATTAAGAAGAATCATAGGTGAGCATTATTGATTACTTTTTTTAAAATCAGAGATAGGAATTGAACTTGAGGCCTTTATACTGATCCCCAGTCCTTTTTTTTTTTTGGTGGAACCAGGGATTGAACTCAGGCCCTTGGGCTTGCCAGGGAAGCACTTATTTCACTCAGCCATCTCCCCAGACCCTCCCAGTCTTTTTTTTTTTTTTTTTTTTTGAGATAGGATCTTGCTACACAGTTCAGGCTGGGCTTGAACTCACTATGTAACCAGGCCGGCCTCAAACTTTGGGTAATCTTCCTGCCTCAGCCTCCTGAGTACTGGGAGTACAAGTGTGCGCCACCACACCCAGCATATCCCAATGTCTTTTCTATTTAATTTTGATCCAGGCCCTCTCAAAGCCGAGATGCAGAGGTTGGCTTCAAATTTGTGATCTTCCCACCTCACTCTCCCAAAGTTCTGGGATTACAGGTACATACTGCCATGCTCAGCTTCCTAAATGGCTCACAGGCATTAGTCTTATCTGCTAAATTATACTGTAGTTTAATACAATCATTGTGACATATGCTTCTTTTGTTGATTCCAAAGCAATAGAAACAATAGATAGTCAAATACATAATGATCTTGTGGTAAAATTAAAATATGAACTATTGAGCAAGAAAGGATGAGAAAGAACAGGAGAAACTGAAGGGGACTCAAGAAAATAAGGCTAGCTTGTAAACAATATCAATTTACTGGGCATCTGCTCCGGGGAGCCAAGGTTTATAGAGTTGTCGGCAGCACCCACTGCCACTCCATTAATGGAAGAACCACAGTCTGCAAGGACTCCCAAGCAGGCGGAGCGCCCGCAGTCCCAAAGCCGTGCTGTTCCATCTCGAGAGCCAGACACCACATTCCGCCCGCGGTCCACGATGGCCGTATCCAGGATACCTGGCAAGAGAAAAAGGACTCCTGAGATGGACAAGGTGGTAAAGGAACGCTAAGGAGAGGGAAGACTGAGCAGTGTAAATGCCTCTGTCCCTTTTATAAGTGTGCAGGGATATAAGCATGTGGTATATGGAGGGCATTTTATTTTTTTTAAGTTTTTTTGTTTCAATCATTTATTTATGTACTTGGTACTGTGTCTCATATAGTCTGGAGGACAGTGCAGAAGTCACCAACCTAAAACTGCGAATAGGCACACAACTTTGGGGGAGGGGCATTTGAGACAAGGTCTCACTATGCAGTTCAGGCTGGCCTTAGACTATGTAGCCCAGGCTGGTCTTGCACTTGAAGCAATCCTCCTGGCTCATCCTACTGAGTGCTGGGACTGTAAGTATGTGCCACGACCCAGTTAGGCACACAATTTTTAAAAATCCAAGAAAAAAGCTATTGCCAAAAGACTGGGAAGGAAGTAGCCTAATAACAGAAAATCTTGGCCATTTCCACCCTACTCCAGTAAACACCAACAGCAAAGCGGCTCTTTCCCTGCCACTGTGGTTTCAGCAGGGCTGAGCAGGAAGTGATCTTCTCTACCCCGTGTGTGAGTCGCCAGAGCTAAGCCCGGTAGTGTGAGCAGAGACCTGCTCTAAGCTCAGCCTCCATTTCCACCTGGCAGCTGCAAGCACACAGAGGTGGGAGGAAGTGACGAGAGGTGTGACTCCACTTGACAACCCCTGCCTGCTGCCAGTCAGCAGGGGACTGACAGCCCGCACCAGAAGGCAAGCCAATGGTGCAAGTGGAGCAAGGTACGGTGTCAGCAGGACCAAGGGGACAGCGACCTTCTAATGCACCGATCTGCAATGAGCCAGTGCTCACTCCACTTTTGCCAGAAGAGTGTCACAGGAGCCCAGCAGGGAACTGAGCACACGCATCTACCAGCCCTTGTACCACATCTCAACAAGAAGATCAAATTCAAGACCCAGGGTGGTACAATATCCAAAATATCCATGGAATTAGTAATTTTTGAGGTTATTACTGATCATCTGAATATTTGCTCTAGCCTCAGGAATATGTAACATAAAAATCCAGAATTAGTCATGGATATGAAGATTTATACTTCAATGGCATGGTATAATAAAACATAACTGTATACATAAACTGTGACAAAAACTCCATGGTAACTAAACATATATAAGTAACAGTCCAATGCCATTAATCAATGCTTACTGGAAATTTCAGTTTAAAAGCCTCAGGCATGGTGATGCATGCCTGTAATCCCAGGATTTGGGATGCTGAGGCAGAATTACCTGTGAGTTCCAGGCCAGCCTGAACTACAGAGTAAGAGCCTATCTAAAAAGAAAGAAGAAAAAAAGAGAAAAAGGGAGGGAGGGAGGGAGGGAGAGAGAGAGCGAGGGACAGAGGCGGAGGGGAGGGAAGGAAAGGGGAAGGGAGGGAAAAGAGAAGAAACTCTGGGGTTGGAGCTCAGTGAGTGGCCCTGGGCTCAGTATGCAGTGATGAAAACAAACATTTTAAAAAAAAGATGAATTCATGAAGTTTATGAAAAAGTCACAATTTGAAAAAATAACCAATTTAGGGTAGGAGAAAATATGATTAAAGGCAAAATGGCAAGATCCAAAGTTACGGTGTAACTTTCCGAAAGGTCCAGTTTTAAATAAAAACTAAATCCAGTTTATATGGTTAATAACAGCTGTTAGAAAAATAAAATGTAATTCTGGCAAATACATTTCCATTAGCCAAAGGCCTTTATAGACAAGTTTTTAAATAGAAGTCTCAGAAACTGATCTAAGAGGCTATGTGGTTTGCTGCTATTTTACAGTATTTATAAAATATTTGGTACCTGGTTAATAACGTTATTTTGAATTTGTAAAATCTGACTATTATAACTTCGTAACACATTCAGCAAAAATATAGCTACACTAGGATCTTGGTGCTTTTAGTACTAGGGATCATCAATCACATCATGTCCATGGAGAAACCTGCTGTTTAATCTATTTATTGTGCTGTTTATAATTTTTATACACCGTACCTTCAGTGGTCTATACTAACTTTTAAGAATAAAAAAAAGACTACTACTAGTAAATAACCATTAGCAAGGCCCTAAAACTCTTATTAAGCAATCAAAGATCTGGTCCTGTCTTTATTGGAAAGTACCACTGCTATTTTAATTTATTTTATTTTTTTATTTATTTTTTTCTCATTAAACTTTGTTTTAATAGGTCTCAAAATTCTGTGACAGATTTTTGGTCAAGTTGTTTCCATTAAAAAGTATTGATTTTAAAAACTAATAACTTAAAAACTGCCACACACACACACAAAAAAAGGTCCATAAAACATTCTCCTTTCCTTCTGAAGGTTTTACGATGCATTGTTATCATCGACCAGTCTTTCACTATTAAACTTAAATGGCCAATTGGGAGAAACAGTTCTAAGACCGGTCTTCCGCCACTGATTAGGACTGGGGTGGCAGGTGTCAGGGATAATATTCATTTAGCCTTCTGAGCTTTCTGGGCAGACTTGGTGACCTTGCCAGCTCCAGCAGCCTTCTTGTCCACAGCTTTGATGACACCCACAGCAACTGTCTGTCTCATATCATGAACAGCGAAACAACCCAGAGGTGGATAATCAGAGAAGCTCTCGACACACATGGGCTTGCCTGGAACCATGTCAACAATGGCAGCATCACCAGATTTCAGAAACTTGGGCCCATCTTCCAGCTTCTTACCAGACCGGCGATCAATCTTTTCTTTCAGCTCAGCAAACTTGCAAGCAATGTGAGCTGTGTGACAATCCAGGACAGGGGCATAGCCAGCACTGATCTGGCCAGGATGGTTCAGGATAATCACCTGAGCAGTGAAACCAGCTGCTTCCATTGGTGGGTCATTTTTGCTGTCACCAGCCACAATGCCACGCCGGACATCTTTGACGGACACGTTCTTGACGTTGAAGCCCACATTGTCCCCAGGAAGAGCTTCACTCAAAGCTTCATGGTGCATTTCAACAGACTTGACTTCAGTTGTGACATTGACTGGAGCAAAGGTGACCACCATGCCAGGTTTGAGAACACCAGTCTCCACTCGGCCCACTGGGACAGTGCCAATACCACCAATTTTGTAGACATCCTGGAGGGGCAGCCGCAAAGGCTTGTCAGTGGGGCGAGTGGGTGGGAGGATGCAATCCAAAGCTTCAAGCAGTGTGGTTCCGCTGGCATTGCCATCCTTGCGAGTGACCTTCCATCCTTTGAACCAAGGCATGTTAGTACTTGGCTCCAGCATATTGTCACCATTCCAACCAGAAATTGGCACAAAAGCTACGGTGTCAGGGTTGTGGCCAATTTTCTTAATGTAGGTGCTGACTTCCTTAGCAATTTCCTCATATCTCTTCTGGCTGTAGGGTGGCTCCGTGGAATCCATTTTGTTAACTCCAACAATTAGTTGTTTCACACCCAGCGTGTAAGCCAGAAGGGCATGCTCACGGGTCTGCCCATTCTTGGAGATACCAGCTTTGAATTCACCAATGCCAGCAGCAACAATCAGGACAGCACAGTCAGCCTGCAATGTGCCTGTAATCATGTTTTTGTTGAAGTCTCTGTGTCCAGGGGCATCGATGATGGTCACATAATACTTGCTGGTCTCGAATTTCCACAGGGAGATGTCAATGGTGATACCACGCTCACGCTCGGCTTTCAGTCCAACACCCAGGCATACTTGAAGGAACCCTTCCCCATCTCAGCAGCCTCCTTCTCAAATTTTTCAATGGTCCTTTTGTCGATGCCACCGCATTTGTAGATCAGATGGCCGGTGGTGGTGGACTTGCCGGAGTCCATGTGTCCGATGACGACGATATTAATGTGGGTCTTTTCCTTTCCCATGTTGGCTTCGATTTAGTGGTGGCCTTCACTACGCCTGTGCTCTCGCGGCAAACCCGTTGCGAAAAAGCACCACTGCTATTTTAAATGTTATTATGATAGAATGATTTGTTCTAATGGTGTTTGTGAATAGGATCACAAGTCCGCATCTTGTACAGCAATTAACCACTAAGAAGAATATATGCAGTGTATTATTTGTTGAAACTGTCCTTCCGATTTGATTTGAAACTGTCTCAATATCCTGAAAAGCATATACCCAAAGCAGGGACACTGCAGTTGTAACTAGAAAGTTAGTATTAACTTTGTACAAATTTCCAGTAAAACTCAGCAACGGTGTTTCATCTAGAAAATTTGCCTTTATGTGTAAGAGTGGAAAATTATCATTCTCTAATAAAATGTCACTTACAAAATGACATCTAGTGTGAATCTTTTGATACTCATATGACAGGACTAAAAAGCACCCTAGAGAAATGGGAACCCTTTAGCAATTACTTAAGAAAGATACTATGAAAACAGTGATTTCCAGAATACTTTTGTAAAAGAAGTAGTCATTGCTAAGACCTACTAGAAGCTACAAAAGTTTTTATATATCTAACCAAATAGATACCAGCATATAAATCAAGTCAAAAAAGATATTTGCCTTTAAGAAAAAATTCAGCTGACACTGGGAGACAATCACAAGTTCAAACCCAAACTAGACAACTTAGTGACCTAGCAAGATCTTGTCTCAGAAAAAAAATTGATGGGGGGAGGGGAGGGGGTAGAGAAGGAGAGAGACAGAATGAGGGGAGGGAGATGGGGGGAGAAAGACAGAGAGAGATCACAGACAGACAAATAGACAGACAGAGAATGGGAGTTGGGGACGCAGTTCACTGTGAAGGCCCTGAGTTCAATCCATAATACTGAGGAAAAAATGAGAGACACAGAGACAGACAGACACAGAAAAGAAGGAAGAAAGGAAGGAGGGAAGGAAAGGAAGAGGGGAAGAAGGGAGAAATAAAAGGGAAGAAAGAAGTTTCACACAGAAACAACAAAGCCAGTTCACATGTAAGCTTCTGGCCAGTCTGAAAAATAAAGACATTAGATAAAATTATAACTGAAATATGTATTGGCCGGGGAAATG